AAAAAAAAAAAAAAAAAAAAGCAAACATCAAGTTGTTGTAAACCTCACCTTAGGGTTCTCTTCAAGCAGTTCAATAAACGTGCTGACGCTGACCCATCCGGTGCACCCAGGGTCAAGCGTTTGCACTAGTTCTCTGAATTCTGAATCACTTATTTTTACAACCATGCAATTTAGAATATGTCGCAATTCTTCCCCTGTTATATGTCCGTCAGGTTTCTGAGCATGAGAATATATAAGGGAATTTTTTAAAAAAGAAAAAAAAGGAAGGAAGAGCATCACGTGTATTTAGCAGCACTTAATAAAGCATGAGTTTGGGCCAGATAGAATTATGATTTGAAACAAGAATACCTCAGCTGATGGTCATTACTGTATAACCCACGTGCCAAGAGCGGTGGGGGGCGAAGGGCATCTAGAACTTTGCAAGTGCAGTTCCTACAAGGTTCTCTGCCAGGACACGGCAGGAGACAGTCCCAAGAGAGGAAAGAGGCTGACCCTTTTCCCAGGACAGGCTGAATGCTGGCACATTCACAGGGCACCCCAACCCACCTGAGGGCCCCGCGGCTCAGCCACATGGGGCACAGAACTTCCTGGAAATTCAATTACAACTATAGCCGATTCACTAAGAATATTAACCATGCTCGTTTTCACTACCACCAACCTCATCACTTACATAAATGTACAATTACTTAGTGAGAAAAAATTTCAGCCATGCTGCATAAAGAAAACATTATGAGCAAAATACTGTGAGGCAAATTTCTTCCCCCAGAATAAAAAATTACGAATAAGTAAATTGAATAACAAAACCGAGAGAAACTGGGTTTCCCTGGTGGCGCAGTGGTTGAGAATCTGCCTGCCAATGCAGGGAACACGGGTTCGAGCCCTGGTCTGGGAAGATCCCACATGCCACGGAGCGGCTGGGCCCGTGAGCCACAACTACTGAGCCTGCGTCTGGAGTCTGTGCTCTGCAACAAGAGAGGCCGCGGTAGTGAGAGGCCCGCGCACCACGATGAAGAGTGGTCCCCGCTCACCGCAACTAGAGAAAGCCCTCGCACAGAAACGAGGACCCAACACAGCCCAAAATTAATTAATTAATTAATTAATAAAAAAAAAAAAAACTGAGAGAAACTGTTTACCGGAAAAGCAGTGAAAATAAAGAACCCTACCTCTTCGTAGGGAGATACTGTGAATACCAGTGTGACCAAAGACTTGTTAAGTAATAAAGCCGCGTACAAATGTCAACTATGACTTTGGGGTCCAAAATCTGAAAAGGATACAAGGTCCTCTTGGAGAAAATTAAGTAATTTAGAGGATATGTGCAGGGCACTTTTTGGTTTGGGAGTGACAATTGTTTAATGTCCAAATGAGAATCATTGACAACTAATATTTATGATTTTCAGTAAATTTATCAACGATCACCACTAATTCCAGAATATTTTCATCACCCTGAGGAAACCTTGTGCCCATTTGTACTCACTCTCCATTTCCATCTCTATCCTAAGGCAATGAATCTACTTTCTCTCTGTATTTGCTTTTTTCTGGATATTTCATGTAAACAGAATCGTACAGTATACGCATCTGTATGCCCCTTCCATCTGGCTTCTATTGCCTACTGTAATGTTTCTGAGGTTCATCCATGGTGTTGCATGGATCGGTATTTTGTTCCTCTTTATTCCTGATATTACTATTCCATTGTATGATAGGGCACATTTTGTTTACCTTGTCATAAGCTGATGAACATTTTGATTGTTTACAGTTTAGAAATTATGAATAATGTTACTGTGGACTCTTGCACACAAGCCTTTGTGTGGACACACGTTTTTATTTCTCTTGCACAGATACCTAGGAGTGGAACTGCCGGGTCATGTGGTAAATTTCCACTGAAATTTTTAAGAAACTACTATGTTGTTTTCCACAGCAGTTGCACCATTTTCCAACCCCACCAGCAGTGTACGAGTTCCATCTCCACAGTCTCGTCAACACTTATTGCCGTCTGTCTTTCTGACAGTAGCCATCCTAGAGGGTGTGAAGTGCTATGTCTCATTGTGGTTTTGATTTGCATTTCCCTGATGACTAATGACGCTGAGCATCTTTTCATGTGTGATTTGGCCACTCCTATATATTCTTTGGTGAAACGTCTATTAAAATCTTTTGCCCATTTGAAAAATCAGGTTGTCTCTTCTAATTAAGTCCTAAGAGTTCTCATATATTCTAGATACGAGTCCTTTACCAGATAGATAATTTACATATATTTTCTCTCAGTCTGTCATTAATGGTATCTTCTGAAGCACAAAAGTTTTAAATTCCGATTAGTCCCATTTACAGATTTTGTTCTTTTATGGATCATACTTTTAGTCTCACATCTAAGAAATATTTGCCTAACACGAGGTCACAAAGATTTACACCTATGTCTTCTTGTAAGACTTTTACCGTTTTAGCTCTTATACTTAGGTCTATGGTCCATTTTCAGTTAATTTTTGTATATGATGTAAAGAAAATGTCTAAATTCATCTTTTTGCATATGGATATCCAATTGTCTCAGCACCATTTGTTGAAAAGATTATCCTTTCTCCTACTGAATTGGTTGAAAATTAATTGACCATAAATGTAAGTGTTTATTTCCTTACTCACAATTATATTCTGTCAACCAATAAGTCTATCCTACGCCAGTACCACACTGTCTTTATTACTGTCGCTTTATCCTAAGATTCAAAATCTGGAAGTTTAATTACTCTGACTTCATTCTTCTTTTCCAAAGTTGCTTTGGCTATTCTGCCACCTTTGCAGTTCCAAATGAATTTTTAAGATCAGCTTTTCAATTTCTGGAAAAAAGCCAGCTGGGATTTTGATGGGGTTTGCATTGAATCTACAGATCAACCTGGAGAGAATTTCTACCTTAATAATATTGATTCTTCTAATCCATGAATATGGAATGTCTCTTCACTTATTTACATCTTCTTTTCCTTTTAACAGTTTTTTATAATTTTCAGTATACAAGCCTGGCACCACTTCTGTTAAACTGACTCCTAGGTAATTTATTCTTTTTATGCTATTGTGAATGGAATTGCTTTTCTGAAGTTCATTTTCAGATTGTTCATTGCTAATTTATAGAAATAGAACTGATTTTTGTATATTGATCTTGTATCCTGTGACCTTGATGAATTCATTTATTAGTTCTGGCAGTTTGTGTGTGTGTGCATTCCTTAGGATTTTCTATTACAATATCATGTTGCCTGTGAATAAAGACTGTTTTACTTCTTTCTTGCCAATCTGTATGCATTTTATTTCTTTCCTCTCCTGATTACACTGTCTAGAACTTCAGTACAATGTTGAAAAGAAGTGGCTAGAGTTGATATCACTGTTTTTCCTGATCTCAGGAGGAAAGTATTTAGTCTTTTACCATTAACTATGCTGTTAGCTTTGGGTTTATCGTAAGTGCCCTTTATCAGGTCAGGGAATCTCTTTCCTATTCCTAGTTGGTTGAAAGTTGTTATACTGAATGACTGTTGAATTTTTCAAATATTTTTTTCTGCATCTATGATCATGCAGTTTTGTCCTTGTTTCTATTAACATTTTGTATTACATTAATTGATCTTTTGGAAGTTAAACAAACCTTGCAGTCCTGGGATACATCTCACATGGTCGTAGCATTTAATCCTTTTTACGTGTTGCTGGATTCACTTTGCTAATACTTTTCTGAGAATTTTTGCAACTATATTCACAAAGGATGTTGATCTGGGATTTTCTTTTCCTGTGATCTCTTTGTCTGGCTTCGGTATCAGGATAATACTGACCTCACAGAATTAGTTGAGAAGTGCTCCTGCGATACCTCCTGAAAGTTTGTAAAGGACGGCTGTTTGTATAAGCAATCTTTCTAGCCTTCAATGTAGAGAATTTGCACATTTTTCGTTAGATATATTTCTAGGTATTTGGTTTTTTAAAATATTATTAGAAATGATATTTTAAAACTTCTTTTTCTAATTGCTTACTGCAGGTCATAGAAATATTATTGATCTTTGCCTATTGACCTTGTATCCAATGACCTTCTCAATTCTATTATTAATTCTAATATTTTTTGGAAGATTCTTGTGGACTTTCTATGTATAAAGTCATGTGAAGTGCAAATAATAACACCGAGAATAAGAGTACATGAACAGGCAGCGTGCAGATTGTTTCCGGGCGCAGGAAAATGAGCCACAGCTGATGTAAATGGAAGTGACCAGGGTGATGGGCCCGCGTGGAGGGAGGATGCCAGTGTGTGGAGGCAGCACACACAGCTTCTTGGAGTGGCTCTAAAGCATCTTCTAACAGCTCTGCGCCCCTCTCTGCAGCAGGGGGACCTGCTTCCCAGGGCTGCCCTCTGTGGCCAGGCAACATGCCATCCCTGCCCACTCCTGGCTCCTCCCTCTGCTCTCCTTCTCCTTCCAGGTCCCAGAATGTGGCCAAGACCCAGGTAAATGGTCAGAGGGGTTGCAGCGGGCATGTCAGTTGGAAGCCACGCCCTCTGCAGCTCTCAAGTATCTGATGGCCGTGGCCCTTGTGTGATGCTCCAGAGGGTAAGCTCATTGTCAGCAGGGACTTCACCTCACTCATCTATGAATTCAACCTAAGTGCCCATGGCCGGGTCCGGCGTGGGGCAGGCACTCAATCCCCCACTTTCTCAGGTGTGTCCGTCAGTCTGTTTGCCGAGCGGTACATCAGTGACGTATTTGGCACGGTAAGCATTATTACAGTCCTCCATTAGCAGAGATGGAGATTTCGCTATTTTTAATTAAATTACTTCTTCAATATACTAATACAAGCTGAGGGGGATGAACACACGGAAGCCTTCACTTATCTCAAAGAGGTGGCCCACCTGACATGCTAGCAGGTGGCTCAGCGCAGGGCGGAACACGCCCGCTCTGGAGCAGCCGGTTCGAATCCTGGCCCCATCACTCACTAGCTGGGAGCCTCAGGCCGGGCACGCGCCCCCACGTTCCTTTCCTCAGCAAATGACGATGAAATGAAAGAACTGAATGAAGATGATGATAGTGTCCACCTCACAGAGGTGCTGAGAGGCCGAAGTGAGCGAATACGAGAAAATCACTGAAGACAGGGCCCGGCACACAGTCAGTGGCACTATTCCTGTCCATCCTGAGAGAACAGGTCATATAGGCATAAAGATTAATGACAGCTGGTGTACCAACTAAAGCGTCTCCCCGACGAAAGCAGGACCCCAAACCTTGGAATCCACACTATGCAGCGGCATTCTAGATGGACAGAGGTGCGGAGCCGCAGCCTCCAGAGCAGAGAGCAAACCCCAAACCCATAGGTCCACCTCCAGGCCCTGGGAGCCTCCCCAGAGCCCTGCCCCACAGCGCAGACTGCCCCTCGGTCGGCGGACTTTGCAAGGTAGACACTGAGGCTGAGTAGCTCCTCTTTGGTACTCGCTCATGTATGAGTCTGAGGCAAAGTAATTCATCGCACTCCTGGTTAGTTACTAGAGATTCAGTTATTGGATGTGCTCAGTAAATAACTAACATGGGAAATATTGCTATGTACCAAAAGCATCCGAATGCTGCTTTCTAAAATAAACATGAAAGTGGGACGGGAGCTAATGTTTCAAGCAGAGTCATGAATAAGCCTCCCTTTGCAGTACAACTAAGTAAGTAAACAGGCTATTTTGGAACTAAGAAAATGTTCCTGTCAGGGGCTACAGTTGGTTATGAACCCATACACTCTAGGGTGGGACGTGGGAGGACGGGTCAGCAGGCCTGGATTAGTCCTTAATTAAACAGCTAACGATGACTAGTCACTCCATTCTTGACAATCTTGACACACGTTGTTCTCACCCCCCTGGCATTTATATTGCAGTAAATTTTATGTCTTCTATCCTCCCAACTAGATCCAGCTCTTGAGGTCAGGCTTTGTATCCCTAAGGACTCAAAATATTTCCTAGCATGTAATGGGAGCACAAAAAATATTTGTTGGGTGGATAAATGGATGAATATACAGTTTTTATTGGTCCTGTTTTGAGTATTAGCCTTCTTTGAAACAATGAGTTTTTCACAAGAGAAGGGTTTCAAAATCTTACAGAGTTGGGGCTTCTCTGGTGGCGCAGTGGTTGAGAAGCTGCCTGCTAATGCAGGGGACAGGGGTTCGAGCCCTGGTCTGGGAGGATCCCACATTCCGCGGAGCAGCTAGGCCCGTGAGCCACAACTACTGAGCCTGCGCATCTGGAGCCTGTGCTCCGCAACAAGGGAGGCTGCGATAGTGAGAGGCCCGCGCACCGCGATGAAGAGTGGCCCCGGCTTGCCACAACTAGAGAAAGCCCTCGCACAGAAACGAAGACCCAACACAGCCAAAAATAAATAAATTAATAAACTCCTACCCCCAACATCTTAAAAAAAAAATCTTACAGAGTTGATGATCAGCAGTGCTTTCTTCAACGATGCACAGTGATCTTCATGTCTAAATAACTTTGTGATAATGTTTTCCTTGCTAAATTGATTTCTGAAGCTGATGCTACAAGAGAATTAAGAGAAAAACAGGAATAAGATTATGTTCTTGAACTTTGTTCTTAACGCAAACAAAACAAAACAGAAAAAACACCACCCTAACAACAACTATAATAGTGTTTTATTTCTAGATGGCTCCTTTCCCTGAAAGTGTCATGTGCTTGTGAGGGCCCATCTGTCACTCAGTTAACATGGTACCTGGTAAGGGAGCTGGCATGCATGCAATTCCCTTAGGCATCAATCAGCTCTGCTGAGCCATCACTCACCTCTTCCCGTGCCGACTAGCTGTGGCCAGCCCTCTTGCCGATCTGTGCCTTTGGTCTCAAAAAAGACCAGGAAAGACGCCTCGATCACTGCTGAGACAAACACCTCCCTGTACAGGCAGTGTGCTGTAGCGCACTCGCCCACATGCTAACTGAGGGCACACATTTCCAGTGCTGAAGCAGTGAGGATGTCAACCTTCACAACCTCTCCCTCCCTGTTGACAATGGCCATGACCACCATGACCACCTATATTATCAGACCCATCTCCCTTTCTTGCCTCTTGCTTTCATCCCCTGAGCTCAGGGCCAGCAGTCTGCATGTACCCTTGAAGGCCCATGATCATCCGTCCACTCTGGAGATCAAAGCCAACTTCACCAGGGACTCTGATCAGAAAGGGGGCTGGAGAACCTCCTAACAATACACACTTGTTGGCCGCCCTTTTCAGTGTTCAATTAGACAGTTTGACATTTTCCACTAAATAAAGAATGACTGTGAATCATACTGGCTCTGAACAACTCTCAAATTGTTTAGGGGAGTTTATTGCTGCATCTGTACAGCCGTCTTAGCTTGTACCAGGTGTGTGAGAACATATAGACACACACACCCTTACCACCACTTTTAAGAAACATATAAAGTGGCAGAGGTCTTCCCTGGTGGCGCAGTGGTTGAGAGTCCGCCTGCTGATGCGGGGGACACGGGTTCGTGCCCCGGTCTGGGAAGATCCCACATGCCACGGAGCGGCTGGGCCCGTGAGCCATGGCCGCTGAGCCTGCGCGTCCGGAGCCTGTGCTCCGCAGCGGGAGAGGCCGCAACAGTGAGAGGCCCGCGTACCGCAAAAAAAAAAAAAAAAAAGTCTCATGACATTGCAAAATGTCTCCGGGGGGGCCAAGATTGTCCCCAGTTGAGAACCACTGCTTTAAAGCAAAGAAAATTCACAGGTTAATTCCTACAGTCCTGGACAAGGTGCTGTGAGACGAGAAAATTGTAAAGAAACAGAAGTAATTTCACTTAAGAAATGAACTCACAGAGCCGCATCCCAGAAATGCAGTGTGTGGGGAGTGCAGTGGACTCCGAATACCTGGAAGGCTGGTGACCAGGGCAGTTCATTAAATATTCATAAATTCCCCAAGACAGGGATAGGACCCAGCAAGACAGGAATTAACTCTGTGGTACATTTTTCTTTACAAGAGAGCACAGCGCTTTCAATGAACGTGCTGAGGTTATAAAGTCTGTTTTTTCTTTAAGATTTACATAGGGCGGTGAGTACAGGGTACACATCGAGATAAAACAGTTCTTAGAGGGAAAGTCTAAATTCGAAAATGGCATATTATCATTTTTTTATGTTTTGGGCCCCCACCGCCCACCACAATTTGTGTGATACATAGAAGTCTGAAGTTATAATAGACATTAGAGTGAAAACAAAAGTGATGGCGCTCAAGGCAGATAATCCACGACATTTGCACCACGCAGAGAGCGGCTGGAAAACAAGTTAGCATACATTGCTCTTTTCCATATAATATTTAACAAGTATGTGTTTGTACACAATTTTACAAGATTATACTTAGTGCTCAGAGAGTGATGTTGGCAGGGTCGGTGTGTGTATTGAGGGTATTCGGGCTCCGTTTCTGCATCTGTGACTCACTAAGCCTATGACCTAGTGAAGACCCCATACAGTCTTATTTTTTTATCTAGAAATTGGAATAATAATTATACTTACCTTATAGTTTAAGGCAGTTTTAAATAAGAAAAATATCTATGGGAAATAATTTATAAGCCATACATTATGCAAAAGTTGGTAATTATTCAAAGAAGACTAATTTGTCATTCAATAAATGAAGAAAAAGTAATTCAGATATTCTCTAACCTTTTACATTTTATGATATGTGTAACCAAAATTTAGTTCAGTTTAGTTTAGTTTTTACATACCTATTTCTTTTTGTCAGGGGAATTTTATGACTAGCTTCCAACAACTGAGGCTCATAAAATGATGTGAAAAATTGCTTCCAGTTGACTTTAGTGGTGGTTTTAAGTCCAAATCTGGATTTAAAGAAAAACAAAAATAGTATTTTAAACATTTTTTTCTATAACGCTGCATGGATTAGATGCTTAATATTGAATTGAAAATGGAAGCAGTGAATTTATATGAAGTTTCATATATAAGGTAAACAAAATAATTTAGTAAAATAATACTACAAATTGATTCTTTAAAAGCAAGGAAAAACCAAACTGATTAATACATCTCCATGTCTTTATATTCTGTTAGCAGTAGCATACACTGAAGGAAGAAACAAAGGGATTTGATTAAAATTCTAACGTTCATGAAATAATTCTTTCAAATTCATTATTTGAAGAGCTCAGTTAGAGTGGTAGGCAGAATAAAGGCCCCAAGGTGTTCACCCTCTAAGTCCAGAAAATAGAGAAATAAGAGAGAAGATTTCTGGAGAAAAGGTTTACATATGCTTGGGTGAGCCCCAAGCCCAGCGCAAGGTAGGATGGATGATGTGTACCCCTCACCTCAAGCCTTGTGGAGAGAACTGCTCTACTTGGGAGTTTGCTAGGTGCCCCTGCCATGGGGAGTCTAATGTATCAGTGCCTGACGCCCTCATAGAACAGAAACCTTGCAGATACGAGCCGAACTGCTGAGCCATCGACCGAAAACGGGGGCGGGGGCAGGTGGGCAGGTGTTGGCAAGACTGCTGGCTGACTCTCAGTCATCGGGGAAATAATGCAGAGGGTCTCGTGTGAATCTGATGTGGGCCACAAGCGAGAGAGTGAGCGTGAGTGTGAGCACACACAGACACACAGGGTCATCTAGGTCCTGCCCGAGAAGGCCACCTGCAAGAATGAACAGACCTTAATAAAGAAGGCTTTCCCTCCCTGTTTCCAGTTTCCCAGGGGCTGAGGAGGGAATAAGCGATCAGCTGAGATGGAGATGCATTCGCCTTCATCAAAAACCTGTGGATGTGACAGCGAGCGTGAAGCCCAGAGACACAGCAAAGACTCTCATGAAAGGAAACGCCTTCAGACAGACACCTGTTAGGGCCAGAAAGTGCGGTTTCCAGCTCACAGCAGAGCCAGTCCAATAGGAACCTTCCTGCTCCCCGCTCTTTCTCTCCTTCCTCTGGGCATTCCAGGCTGGAGGAGTCAGACCCCGCGTTTGCAACATGAGGAAGGAAGAGAAGTGCAAAGCGGAGATGGGGAGAAGCCATCTGTGTCCCCTTTATTCTTGCCTGCAACAGACCCTAACTGGGTAGGGAACACAATTCACATTTAAATCAAGTCTACAGCTTTGACCATAATGCGAAACTGGCTATTGCAATTACTAAGCTGAGGCTCTTTGTGTGATCTGAAACAAACCAAAAAAATCAAAGTCTGCTCATGCTTTCATCCAAGGGAAAAAGAAAAGAATAGGAAATCTCAATAGAGAAATGGACATACTAAAAAGAACTAAATGGAAATTTTAGAATGATAAAAAATACTATCTAAAATGTTTTTTTTAAATCACTTGACAGAATTAACAAAAGAATGGAGAGGATAAAGGGGAGAATGAGTGAACTTAAATACAAATCAACCAAAACCACCCAATATAACACAGAATACACATATATTTATAAAATGAATAGAGTCTCAAAGACATAATATGACAGTCTTACATACATGTAATTGCAGTCACAGAAGGAGAGAAGAGAAAGAATAGGGCAGAAAAAACACTAATACTTGAAGACATAAAAATGACAATTTCCCCCAAATTTAATTGATATACATTTACAGATTTAAGATGTTCAGCAAACACCAAGCAGTATATCCATGGAAAAGGCCAGGCCAAAGCACGTCACAGTTAACAAAGCTGAAAGTCAAATTCAAAGGGTAAATCTTGAATGCAACAAGAGAAAAATTACTCACTACATACAGGAGGACAGCGATTTAATAAATGACTTCTCATCCAAAGCACTGGAAGCCCAAAGGAGTGGAACATCATAATAAAGTGCTGAAAGAAAGAACAGTTCCCCAAGAGTTTTCCATCTAAGAAAATATCAGTCAAAAACGAAGGAGAAATAAACACATTCCTAAATAAAACTAAGGGAATCCATCTTTAGTACACCTATACCTCAACAAAGGAAGTTCTTCAGGCTGAAGGAAAATGACAGCAGATGGAGATCATGGCTCCTCAGAAAGGAATTAAAAGAGGGTTAGAAATAGTAAATATCTGAAAAACTTTTTAAGGCAATTTTTTTGCTTTTTTTTTCTTCTTTATTTGTTTATGGCTATTTAAAGCAAAAAAAAAAAAAAAGAAAGAAAGAAAGAAAAAGAAAAAAACACATTATTTTGTGGGGTTTATAACATAGGTAGATATAATACATATATTATCCATAGTACAAAGGACACGGGGGGCAGGATATAGACCTATGTGTTACATGGGTTCTATATTTTATGTGAAGTGGTACAGTATTAACTGTAGGTAGACTGGGAACACTTAAAATGTATATTATAGTCCACAGAACAACCATTAAAAATTATGCAAAGAAGTATATCTACAAAGACTTTAATAAAATTAAAATTAAATTCTAAAAACGATTTCAAATAATCTAAAAAGAAGGCCAGAAAAAATAAACAAAAAGCAAAAAAAGGAGAAAAAAAAGGGAAACCTAAATCCAAACATATTAATAACTATTTAAAATATTAATGGACTAAATGCTTTAATTCAAAGATAGACATTATCAGAATAGATTTTTAAAAAGCAAGATGCAAATTTATGCTGTCATAAAAGAGATACATTTAACTTAAAGACACAGATAGGGTAATATTGGGGTGGCCAAAATGTTCGTTCGGGCTTTTCCATACCATCTTACAGAAAAAACATGAACAAACTTTTGGGCCAACCCAGATATAAAAAGGGTACTAACTTAAGCCATGTGATCAAGGTCAACATCAATGGTGACAAGTCATACTGATACTATGCACCCCTGACATGATGGAATGAGAATGGTACTTGACCTCCATGGTCTTCTTCCCATTACCCTAATCAGCCAAATCCCAACTGAGGGACAGTTTATAAAATATCTGACCAGTAATCCTGAAAACTGGCAAGGTCATCAAAACAACAAGGAAAATCTAAGAAACTGTCAGAACCAAGAGGAGGCTAAGGACATGTCACTACTAAATGTAATGGGGTATCCTAGATAATAACATGGAACAGAAAAAAAGAATATTAGGGGGAAATTGAGGAAATATGAATAAAGCATGGATTTCAGTTAATAATAATGTATCAATGTTAGTTCATTAATTGTAAAAAAATGTACCATACTAATGTAAGATGTTAATAAGGAAAACTGGGTGTGGGATATACTGAAACTCTCTGTACTATCTTTGCAATAATTTTGTAAATGTAAAACTGTTCTAAAATTAAAAAGTTATTTTTGGGGCTTCCCTGGTGGCGCAGTGGTTGAGAGTCTGCCTGCCGATGCGGGGGACATGGGTTCGTGCCCCGGTCTGGGAGGATCCCATGTGCCGCGGAGCGGCTGGGCCCGTGAGCCATGGCCACTGGGCCTGCACATCCGGAGCCTGTGCTCCGCAACGGGAGAGGCCACAGCAGTGAGAGGCCCGCGTACCGCAAAAAAAAAATTAAATAAAAAAAGGAAGTTATTTTCAAAGAGCAACATTATAACTAGCTTTATGGCAATATATTTGATAACTAAAGATGAAATGAAATTTGTTGAAAAACATATATTATCAAGAATGACCCAAGAAGAAACAGAAAACTTGAATAGTTCTATATTAACTTTTAAAATCGAATTTATGATTTGAAACATTCCCCAAAAGAAAACTTCAAGCCTAAATAGCTTCTCAGGTGAATTCTATCAAACATGTAAGGATAATAAAAATAATAACAATGGCAGTCAGAATGTAGAGGGGAAGGAGATATTTCCCAACACATTTTCCAAGGCCAGTGTTACACTGATGCCAAAACCAGGAAAAAAATTTACAAGAAATGGCAACTTTAGAAAAATATCACTCATGAAAAAAAGATGCGAAAAAAATCTTAATAAAGATTAGCAAATAAAATCAAACAATATGTTAAAAGAATAATATATCATGACCAAGTGGGGTTCAATCCCAGGATGCAAGGTTGGCTTAACATTTGAAAATCAATCTGTGTAATTCACAATGTTAATAGAATAATGGAGAAGAACTATATGATCATCAGAATAGCTGCAGAAAAAACATGAGACAAAACCCAGCATGCATGGTTGAAAAAATTCAGCAAAACAGGAATAAAGAGGAAATCCCTTAACCTAATTAAGGGCATCTGTAAGAAATCCTTGGCTAACATCACACTATGGTATAAGATGGAATGGTTTCTACCAAAGATCAGGAACAAGGCAAGGGTATCTAATCTCACCATTTCTGCTCAGCACTGTATTATACTTAATGTGGTACTCAGTAATGTAAGGCAAGAAAAAGAAATAAAAGGCATACAGATTGCAAAGGAAGATGTAAGCTTGCCTTTATTTGCAGGCAATATGACTATTTAGAAAACACCAGGGAATTTGCAATAAAGCTATTAGAACAAATTAATCAGTAAATTCAGTAAGGTCACAGTGTTCAGAGTTAATATTAAAAAATCAGTCGTATTTGTTAGTATTAGCCATGAATTTTTAAAACTTCCATTCACATTAGCATCAAAAACTATTTTTAAATACTTAGGAATAAATATAACATAATATGTGCAAGATCTGAGCATTGCAAACAACAAAACCTTGCCTAGGGAAACTAAAGACCTAAATAAACAGAAAGATATACCATGCTCATGGAGTGGAAAACTGAACACTATTAAAGTGACAAATCTCCCCAATGTATTCACAATCAAAACCCTAGAGAGCTTTCTTTTTAACATATTGACAAACTGATCCTAAAATGAATACGTAGAAAGGCAAAGAACCTAGAATAGTCAAACAATTTTGAAAGAAAAGAACAAGTTTAAAGGACTTACGCAACCTAATTTCAAGACAAGTATTTAGCTACAGGAATCAAGACAG